CGTCTGAATCAACAGGTGTACTTTTGATAATTTGGGTCGGTCCAAATTTGAATTAAGTTCGGCTCATGAAAAGTTCGGCGTCTGAACTGGGCCTTAGGCTGTGAATATAACTGCGATGATCAATTACGTCTTCATTTGGTAGAGATAATGCCACTGATCTTAATTAGCCTGAAATAAGAAATTTCTCTGAATTTAAAGTAGTGGTAAAATTGTTTTTATTTCCAATGATCATTGCTAAAAATATTTTGTCATATATAGAGTTGTTGTTAACTAACGTTGCAATTGCAACTTGCATACCATTTCAAATTTTCTACAGTTGAAACAAGAAAGAATTGTCTTGTACTGGGGGGTTGTAAAAAGTATTCTTTCTCCTAACAACTGTTTATTTTTTTGTCTCCTCTGCAAATTCAGGAAATTGCAATATTCTGGTCTGGCACAGGCCAATTTACACTACACGAATGCGACAGGAATAGATACAACAAAGAATGATCATAAATTATGCATGGTTTTGTGTACATGAGGGGGTTTTCAATTTAGTGTCGTAGAAGCAATAGCAAAGTTATCACTCTCACCAATCACATATAACACAGACAATTCCGTGAACCAATCAAAACTCGAAGCAGATACATGTAGCTGACGCGAAACGCGGAAAAACGGGTGCAAGCGGGCCACGATTGGTTTTGGTTTCACTTCTGATTGGATGACAAAGTGGCACGAGTTTTTTTAAAGCCAATCGCGTAGCATGTAGGTATATAAAACCAAAGAAATTCAGATTACTTTCAACACACAATTGAAAACCGCTCTAAACTGTTAAACCGTCTTAGTGAATTTCATTAAGTCAAATATTGCTAAAATAATATAAATTAAGTGGAGCATTGGGTCGTTGGCACCATGAGAAAACTCTATAACAACTACACCTAATCTTTGAAGGGCTCGTAGGTAATGTTAAAAGTATTATATATAGTTTTTCCGAGAACAGTTGCTGAATGCTAACGGATTTTCTTAGTTCTGTACACTACTGTAGATCAGTGCCGCTTAACCAAAACTCTGCCTTACCTGAAAGCTATTTCCAAACTAAATTGCGCGTTTTGCTAAACCAATTGAACGCATGTTGAAATTATTATCTTCTCTGAGTTTCATTTTCGGTCACAACCTACACATTGAGTACACGGTCCAAAACCCCTCTACGGGATAGTCGTATGTCGCGAGAGAGCTTTACCATTAATCATTTACTGCTAGTAGAGCGGTTTTCAACTGAGTGTCGTAAAACCAAAACCAACGTAATCAATCTAGCCAATCACAAAGGACAGAGACAATACAATGAACCAATCAAAACTCGAAGTAATTCCATGTAGCTGACACAACGCGCGGGGAAACGAGTGCGGGCGAGTCACGATTGGTTTTCGTCTTATTTGTGATTGGATGAAAAAGTGGCGCGAGTTTTATGGCAATGGTGTAGGGTAGCAATAACAGCTAATTACTTTACGACACTCAAGAGAAAACCACTCTTAAACCCGGTTTTCATTAGCGACGCAAGCACAAGCGCAAGTACAAGCGCAAGCACAAACGCAAGCATTACGGATGACCCAAGTGAAAACGAAATTCGACGCAAACACAAGCACAAGCAAAATCATCCGAGCCTTCCGCCATTTTGGAAAACTGTTTAGGCGCGAAACTGTTTAACCACGTGTGGTAAATATCCTTGTGCTTGTGTTATGCCTGAGAGGTATTTCGCTTTCACTTGCTGCAGCGCAAACGCAAGCATAAGCGCAAGCACAAGAAAAAGGATAAATTTTGATCCTTGGGTTTGTGCTTGTGCGTGCGCGTGTGCTTCTGCGTGCGTCAAGGCCGTTTTCACTGTGAAATATGAATTATTGTCTTTGCGCTTGTGCTTGGGTTTGCGCTGCAAACGAAACCAGGCTTTAACATTTATTAAATATGCACTACTACTGTCTACGCATTTGACCGATGGAGTACACGGTCCTTAACCCTTCTCCAGAAGGGCTGCACATCGCAAGAGAGCTTGACTAGAAATCATTTATTAACTAAGTATCTACTAAGCATTCTACCATCACTGTAAGGAATGGCGATATTTTTCAGGAATTACGTCTAGAAGACCTGCAAAGGAAAGAAACACTATACTGTTTACTATTGCAGGAAAAATTTAAAAAGATCACAGGGGTACCTTAAAAGTAATAATGTTTTATTCTACGAATATGAGCCTTGGTAAGCAGAGGGATTCTTTTATGAAGACACAAGGTTACAGAGAAGACAATAACATGACTGAAGACTGCAAAGCGATGGTAAAAAGGAAATTATTAAAACCGACAGAATTAAAGGAGCTCAGTCACGACATTTTTAGTTATTTTGGCCACGTACAAAATTACCTTTAAGGTGGCTTAAAAGAGTTTCCAGCACTTAGATTTTGATGGGTCGTTATAACCACTGTTAAGCACTTGATGCTACAATGATGGTATCAAAAAACTGCCCAATCATTGGTGAACACGTTGTCCTCATTTTCGTGACACAATAGGTTACCATAGCAACAGTACGACCTCCGAAAAACACCCTTAATTACAGCTTCAGGGGCTTATAATTCAAAAACGACACGGTGAAATTTTTTTGTATTACCAACTTTTGATAAGCATGATAAAATGCAACTTTTGGCACGGTTTAAAAAATTCTGTAGGTAGGGTTCAGAGCCACCTTAAATTTTCGAACATTTAAGAGTTGAATGACGATAGGTCAAGAGCACAATGACAAATAAAACTACCTTTAGACTCCATCCAATTCCTACTAAAGAGACGTGCAAAATATTTCTGCAAGTTGAGAGGACAAACGGACACTGCGTTAGTAGTACAAGGAGGTAACGTGAATCAAGAAACATCACGTGATCTGTCACATACCTGCCCCGTGTCACACAGGCACGTGGTAATCACGTGACCAGGGCCAAGCATCTCCGCGACCTGTGAAAATAATAGGGAAAAGTCACTTGCAATAACAACAAGGAAAGGAAAGGAACCCTTACAAGGACGAAAGGTAAATTATATAATATAAGGAAAGAACGATAATTGATGGTCTGAGCTCCTAGTATTTGTTACCACATTACTAAGCAACATGATCATGGGCTTCTAGCATAATGCATAGATATGGGCCCAAGCATGTGAATGTGTTCCACGTACATTACATTCGGACACTAAATGACGCCTACAAAACACGTTTTAGACTAAAACAACATCTATGAAAAAGGATGCACCCTGAAGGGTTTACTCGGGAATATTTGCAGTATTTTGGGAAATAATTGGAACATAGACAATGTATTGAGGCGTAAGAGATTCAGATGAGCTTATAACAGTAGGAATGTTTTTGGACCAAATTTGATTTCGATTTACCTTGACAGCAGCAGCGACGTTTAAACCAGAGGAAGCTCCTACAAAGAAGCCTTCTTCGTGAAGTAAGAAGAACGTCTGTTGAAGGAAGATCCAGAGAAATGATTAAAACAAACCTAAAATTATCTCCTTAACACATGATTAAATATTTCTTACTGGTCTGCATAACTTACAAAAACATCAACTAGGGGAAGATAATTACGTACAAGGACTGTGGCTCTTTTCTGTGGGTGTCAAGTTGTGTGGACATGAAAATTTGAGGGGACGTCGAGGTTTATGCACCATCCAGTTTTGTGCTGGCGTCGAATGAGGGCCTCCCAAGGGGAGACCGAGGGGGGCAGCATGTTTCCTTGTTCCCTTGAAAATTTCACTTTTTCTCCCTTGTTCCCTATTGATAAATTCCATTGTTCCCTAAAATGTTTTGTCAAAGTTCCCTTGTTCCCTCAAATTAAGCCCCATAATATCTCTTGTTCCCTTGAAATAAATGATCATGTTTCCCTGTTTCCCAAATCCCCTGGGAGGCGCTCTTGAATGTTGCTGTATGGACGTCAGGTCTGCCGTATATGGGAGTGTATGGAGGCAAACAAAGGGGCACACAGATGTATTAAGGGTAATAGTGAAGGTGTATGTAGGGATATGGGGTGCATAAAGGTGTATGTAATATCCTCACAAGTAGGAAGGGGTGCCTATGAAGGCATTGGTATTGTGTTGACTTCGAGGTTCGTTTTGTGTGGGGATAAGAAGAGTATGCAGTTTACATTTGATTTCAGAGTGAAATATTTTGTTGTGATTCTTGTGAGAGTTAAAAACGCGGTGGTTGTACAGGGCTTTCATTAAGGGCTAGGCACCGGGCAAATTGACCAGTTGAGGTTGAGTTTGCCCACCTGGTTTGACCATCAAGAGGAAATTTTTTCGTACATCAGAAGTTCAGTTCAAATAGTTTTGCCCACCTGCGAAAACCAGATGCCCTCCCGCTGAAAACATTAATGAAATTCCTGGTTGTAGAAACCTCTAAAAGACCTTCAAGGCTCATTGCCTACTGAGTACTCTAAGCTCAGAGTGGAAATTCCTTACTGATATGATGAGTTGATTTGATGCCAGTTTTAATAATTTAGCGGTAAATCAAGAAAATTTTAACTGGTTGGCATACCAACGGTTACAGTTTTTCTCACCATCTCAACTGCTTCTTTATCACTCACAAACACAGCATCGTCAATTGGAGCACCTTTTAAGTTGGTTGTTACTCGTCCCTGTCCAATACCTGTTTAGATAACAGAGCTGTCAAAATTACACTTTTACAGTCAACAAAAGGTCGCGAGAATCCCTAGTTTGTTACGGTATTCTACACTTCAACAGTACGTTTTAACTAAAATTAACAGTATTTTACACTTCTACACACGGAGAAGTGTAGAACTAAGTAAAGAATGACAACTATGGAATGGCTGGGAAAATTAAGGTCGAGAAAATCCCTAGTTTGTCAGGGCATTCTATAATTCTACACATGGAGAAGTGTAGAGCTAAGTAAAAAATGACAACAATGGAAAGGATGGGGAAAAGATCCTGAAAATCCCTAGTTTGTCACAGTATTCTACTATTCTACATATGGAGAAATGTAGCACTAAGTAAAGAATGACAGCTGTTGGATGACTGGGAAAAGGTCGATAACATCCCTAATTTGTCACTACACACGGAGAAGTGTAGAACTAAGTAAAGAATGACAACTATGGAATGGCTGGGAAAAAGTCGAGAAAATTCCTAGTTTGTCAGATTAGTCTGCTCTTCCACACGTAGAGAAGTGTAGAACTAAGTAAAGAATGACAACTGCGGAAACAATGGGAAAAGGTAGTTAAGGTCGGATAAGTTAGTTACAATCCCTAGTTTGTCACAGTATTCTACACTTCTACACATAGAAAAGTGTGGAATTATATCAAAGTGTAGAAACCAAGGATTTCATGGCCAGTACCGGACATTTACGTCTTTTAGGTTACACTTAGGCTCAATTTCCACCCGTTTTGGGAGTGCGGTTGGTTATCTTCCTTGTTGAGGTGTGGGGCAAGGAATGCAGGCGCACAAAACGGCTGGAAATCGAGCTTAGGTTACACTCGAAAGAATAAAAAACCGATGTCTATCCGTTTCACAGTAGTATCTTTTAGGGGTCAAATAAAGCTCGAACCACACCCAGGGGGGCTTTAAAAATTCAAATCTCCCAACGAGCATCCTCGACCTTTTCACATTTCCTGCAAGAATATGATCAAAAGGACTTTTTCAAAGAAACTTCTGTTGTCTTGAACTAACCGGTGAGTCAGAGCTTTCAATAAACACCCCCACCAGTAGATCAATGTCAACTCTAACAGTGAATCACAAGAAGTCAAATAACATTGGGTGGCTAAAAATACAAACAGTCTTATTAACATGCAGTGGATGTAATTGATGGGTACCTTCTGTGATGGAGCTGCCATCACTTCTTTTTAATTCCCCATATTTGAAATAATTGTAGAGAACACTACCCTGTTGATAAAAGAAGAAAAATGTTGTCAGTCTTTTGATGCTTGTTGATGGTCTATGATGCTTGTTTATGGTACAAGTTAGTCCCTCTTGCTTTCGGGCTTTTTCTAATCCACTGCAGTCAAAACTTTTGCCTGCAATCTTGATGAATGCAAGACAAAATTAAGGATCTATGGACAGACTAGATACAACAATAAGCCTGTCATGGGAGGTACTGTGGCCTAAAGGTAAGTACATTCAACTACAGATTGAGCCGACTGGATTGGAGGTACAGTAAACACCCGCGTATAAGAACCTAGAATTTTTGGGTTCAGGCTGAATGGGTTCTTATATTTTGGGGTAGTTTTTCCGAACTCAGGCTGATTAGNGTTAAAATGATTTTAACCTGGTTTGATTCTCAATTTCCTTTGTCTTCTAACCCTGATTATTCCACTTATGTCCAGGATTGAATGCAAGTATTGTTTAATTAGTACTTCATATTTGGCAGGGTTATTTGACATTTTCATATTACTTCACATTTGACAGAATTGTGTGTTTTGGTGACTTCTTACCAATGAGGACACTTTGTGATGCTTATCATAGGGAATTTGAATCTCATTAGCATTCAGTCTGTTCAATCATATCTGGATTATTCATGATCCATGAATAATTAGGATAAAGAGACAAAGGAATTTCATTTCAACCTGAATTTCTTTTAGACCTACAACATATCCATTCCCCTTCACCAAGAAAGGGAGATCCCCTGCCCCCTCTGGAAATTACAATTAAGCTTCATGTATTTCTTTAAATGTTTTGGTCTTACAGACAACCCCCCCCCCCCCCNATATTTTCTGGAACTATTAACAAATTACCTCAGGATCAGCTAAAACAACTTTAACATTTGGATTCTTTGATTTAAGATATGTCCCTACACCTGCAATTATTGAAAAGAAGAATAAGATAAGAACAATTGGACAATGAGCCAAATAAGTCTAATGGTTGGTGTGATGGACTTTAGAGTGACTTGGGTTCATCAAGCCAGTGCTGTGTTCTTCCACCCAGGTGTGCAAAGAAGTACCACTGCATTTTTAGTGTTGGGGGATAACTCTGTGATGGATTAGCATCTAATTCAGGGGAGAGTAGAAATAGTCCTAGTTGCTTAATCCTTAGGTGTTTGGTCTTGCATGCATTCAAGAGAACAAAGAAGACTACAACTAACATGTTAAGCCTGTTTTCAGGAGTACAAATAATGTGAGATATTTGTACTCCTTCTTCCTGCATCATTTTACTTCATAGAGTGACATTCCAGTGAGAATATATCCAAAATCCCTACCCTCCCATGGAAGGTCATCAGAAATTCCAAGGGGGTGGGTGGTCTCAAAAGCCTCAATGTACCAAATACCTTCCATGGGAGGGGCAGGGATATTTTCTGGAACAACAACATAAAAACAAATGCTGGTCAGCTGTTGGAACAAGTTGAAAGAAGGGAACGATTTAGGGCCTGTTTACAAGGAGAGAGAGTTAGCCCAGCAAGCGGGTTACCCTAGCAAGCGAGTTACCCTAGCATTCACACATTTCCTCTTTTTTTTCTTCATCATGTTTACAAGGCAGCCAGGATTACCCCACTTGCTAGGGTAACCCTACCTCCTTGTAAACAGGCCCTTGAATGAGTCTCTTTACCAGCCAATGTGCCTCCAGTCCCAGTAGAAAAAGTAACAGCATCTATCCGTCCATCTGTTTGATTCCAGATTTCTGGTCCTGTAGTCTCAAAATGAGCTCTCCTATTGGATATGTTGTCAAACTGAAAACAAAAACAACAAAAACTACTTATTAACTGCCAGTGAGGTCTTTATGGTCAAATCTCAAACTGAGACCATGCTGTATTGACGGAGCGATAGTGATGTCCATACAGCAAGGCCAAGGTTTGAGATTTTCCTACAAAGACCAAGCATTCAGGGTAAATAAGTTGTTTACTATTAATACAGCTTTTTGCTTTGTTCTTGCAGGCCTGTAATTGACCCGTGAGCATTACAGAAGAATAATGCCCTAGAATTAGCAAATCAGAGCAATCGTTATATAGCTACAAACACAAGCCATATAACAGGATATAATAATACAAGTTAATGAGCTGTCATTAATTAATTATTAATTAATCACAAAACATAATATTTCAAACTTGAGGTTAAATATGGTGGTAGCCAGGACAGTTTAGAGGAGAATTTATCATAAATCATTCATTATAAGATCGTAAGTTCTAATCTTTCTCATGCTTCTCCTACAATTACATGAATAAAATTTTGGACAATTTTAATTTCTATCTCAAAAAGTGCCAAATATAAAACCATCCGAAATATTTACAGTACAGCATAAGATTTGTAAGTAGCTCCAAAACTCTTAGTTTACTTTATGGAGTGAACTCTACTTGAGACACGTACGTAATGGCTTAATTGATGTAATTGGTTGTTATAATTACTTTTTCTTGTTTGTGAATCTGTAAAACCTTGAGGGTGCAGTGAAACTATCATTTTCACGGTATTTGTTTCAGTCTAATTCAAGTTTTGTTGGCGCAAATTTACTTTAGGTGCACTTCAACAAAGTGGCCAAAATTTTAGTCTGAAATTTTTCCAAAATGAGATAAAAAGTGTCCAGAAATAAAATGTCCAAAATAAAATTTCCGAAATTTTAACTTCCAAAATTGTAATGTACATGTAGTTGTAAAAGCCAATGGCAGCTGCTATACTGATGGGAAAAATTAAACATCAGTCATCACCAGATTCTCACTACACCTGATTTGTCCAGATTGCATTCTCGATGGTCTCAGCAAATCTTCTAGCCTAAGTTGCAGAAAAAATATTGTTAGCATTATTAATAAATTGCATGAATAAATTTAGCATGAAGAAACTGTCATTTTTAAAAAATGTCTCAACCATTTGCTCCCCCCCCCCCCAAAAAAAAAACCTGGTAAACCATAGAAATAACATTAGAATAATGTTCAAAACTCCAGCAAAATCACTTAAGATTTTATTGCTGCACTTTTGTGGTCTTTTAAAGTGCTGACCATGGGAAAATTTGGTTGACATAATTTTTTTTTTTAGTATATATGAATATAACTGTAACTTTAGTGGTGAATTAAAGGGAAAATGAGCGGCAATATTGTCTGGTATTGTCTGTCAGAAACTTTGTCCAAAAGTCTCTGGTTTCCACTTATTGGAAAAGTTGAGACAATTTTTCCTAAAAGTAGCTTATAGGCACTGGTCACTGTTTTAATCAAGCACTGTTCTTTACTTTTTTTAAAACATTGCTTTGACCCAAGGGGGATACTCCCTTTTATGGGCTATATAGGTATGTGCGGCCCCAAAGGGTATGGCTTTTTAGCTGTTTTGGTCTAAAATAGGCCGGTATATTTTCACTATGGCTTGGTATTGGGTAGATTGTTTACAAAGAACTAATTTTTTCGACATCAACACTGTCAAATTTGTAGCCCATCTCACATGTTAATGCAGATGGAAGCCACATATTAGAGCTGCATACTAATTTTCAACGTCTATAATGGGGTGTTGATTTTTGGCTCAGGTATGAAATAGGGCATGTCCGGCAGTTTCAAGGTTTGGACCACACACCCCCTCCCCCCAAAAACTTTGGGGAGCACTCCCCCTTCCTTTCAGGCTTTTGACTGATGAGTGAGCAATGATTCTTCCAGTCATTATAAAAACCTGCCTAGTTCACTTTAATCACCTGATGATTGTAGTTCATAGGGTCGTCAAATGGTACAGCAGGTACCGGTCTTACATCAGCACCTAAAGTCTGAAGTACATCTATCTTTTCCTACACAACAGCAAACACTGTCAGTAGTAAATATTGATTTGCAAACTTGATGTAAAAGTTTAAATACTTTTGACAGAACACTCATAGAGCTAGCAGCACAATACTTCAGCATTACATACCTGGGATTGAGTGTTTGGCATATAAATAACACACTTGTAACCCTTCGCAAGACAGATGTGAGCAAGACCTATCCCTGAAAAAGACAATGAAATATAAATATCATTTTAGTTTCAAGATCCTTATCCATGTCCTGGACGGGGACATTGAGTTGTGTTCTTACGGAAGACACTTTACTCTCACAGTGCCTCTCTCCGCCCAGGTGTATAAATGGGTACCAGCAAATTTAATGCTGAGAGTAACCCTGCAATGGACTAGCATACCATCCAGGGGGGAGTAGAAATACTCCTAGTCGCTTCATGCTACCGAAACCAGAAATAAGTGCCACATTGATTGGCCACTTGGCTCATATACAGGCTGTACCTTTTACCTCATCCAATGAAGAAAATTTACAATGTAATTTACACTGCGATGATATTACTGTTACAAGTGGCTGTTAGCCTGTCCCACAATTTCTGGTGAGAGTTGAATTACATGAAAGTTTAAATACCATCGAAGGACAGATAGTAAGGTCCACACATAATGAATGAGAGATAAGTCAGTCAGGTCGGTCAGTCAGGGAATGAATGAATAAATAAATAAATAAATAAATAAACAAATAAAGAAATCATTCCTTGTTGTCTAATGTACATATTTATCACACCACCATTAGGAGGATGGGGAGGGTGAACTAACAGCTAGTGAGCTGGATTCTGGTGTGAGCAGAACTCCAGACTGAACAAATTTAAGAACTATGCAATAATTTCATATTAATAGCAAATAAATGCAATTACAAACAAACCTGTATTTCCAGCTGTGCCTTCCACCACTGTTCCGCCAGGTTTTACTAAACCTGCAATGAGAACAAGAATATTTAGGACCCACTAGTTAGCCTGCTTTACCAAGGAGGAACTTATAAAGAACATCACTGAACAAGCGGAAAAAAAGGGGTGGGTGTGGATGGATGAGTCAACATACAAAGCTAGGGGTGGTGAATGGTAAATGCAAGACTTTGCAAGGAGGCAAAACTAGTAGTATTCTTTGCAAGCCTGAGACATTTTGACTTTTCAATTCAAACCTCAAATACAATAGGTTAGAAATGCCATGTGAGGGTAAAATATCTTGCCCTTGGAAGATGTCTTGCGAACATTCTCCCAATATGGCATGAAGCAATCAAACTGGTGAGCCAAGCATGGTCTAAGGTGAGCAGAATTTGTCAAAAGTGGTCTGGAGGACCATGCTTGGCCATTTCCTTGTTGCATTTTTTTCATGCCCAGTTTTGACTCCGCTCACTGACATTTTTTGCCTGGCCATCTTTTTCCATTCAAAACACACATTAATTAGCCATGATCTAAACAAGTAAGGAGCTGGAAACCCCTTAATATTTGAAATCAATTAATTTGAAAAAGTGGACGTGGTACCTAAAGGAGCATCTAAAAGTTAGTATTCTAAATTTACCAAATATCAGTGTTTTTGGTTCAAACACAGACTAAGATTAACACAGTTGAAAAGCTGTGATTTGTATGGTTTGGAGGGGCCGGTGTTCATTTAGACCATGGCTAATTAGAAGTCTTATTGGCAGGCTATGCCCAAGGACACAACAGAGGCTTCATACAGGTGCATTTAAAAATGGCCCAACAGGAAAGAATCAATGTGGGATACGGGTACGTCTGTAAGGGTTAAACTTAATTTACAACTATTTAGAGCTAACCTCTGTTGAGTCAGTGATATTTAGGCTAACACGACTGTTATTTAGAGAAACCAGAGTGCTTTAGCCTAACCATAGTACAATTTCCCCATTTCACCATTCTGTGTTTTAAACACGCCCTCTTGATACTGGACATTTCAATGTTGGTGCTAACCTTTCCTCCTGCCGGCCACTTCTTAACAACTGCTACTGTAGAATAGGTAGTCATCCTCCTTAGGCACAGTTTCCTCTAATTTATATATTCTAAAATTTTCCTGTAGTAAACATTAACTGACCTTTCTCTTCTGCTTCTTTTATAAGGTAGAGTGCAGCACGATCCTTCACTGAGCCTCCCGGGTTAAGATGCTCTGCTTTAGCTGTGATGTCACATCCTTAAGACCACGGAATTACAAGAAATCAAGCTACATTGGGTGTGTTATGACCAGATCTCACAACAAATTTATCACTCAAATGTTCTCAAGATCACATGCATAACGGATCCCATTCTCAATAAGTGCATCACTCTTCAAACATTGCTTGTTCAATGTCAATGTCACGCAAAGTAACATCACCATCAGTGATGGGTGGTTGAAAATACAAACGATCATATTAGCAAGCCCTGTCCCTTTCTGTCTTTCACAAAGGCATATAACTAGGATGTAAATTGTAAATTTTGATATCACTTGACAGTGACCAGGATAGAATGCCAAATGTTTTTATCTATTAAGGCATCTTTTTGATTAGTATAATAGACCAATTTCGATATATTAGCCTAACACAATAGACCCTAGCACGAGGCTCTGGGAAATAAACCCCACAAACTCTGTAGTTATTCCCCAAAGCCTTGTCCTGAGGTTTATTGTTTTAGGCTGAATTTTAATATAATATCGAAATCGGTCTATTGTAAAATGCAAAGAAATAAAAGTAAATGAAATGTTCCAAGCATGATGACAGCATTTTATTCTTGGTTTTCCAGAAAAAAAGTTACCTGCTTTTTTGCCAGAAGTTCAGTCACGTAGCTAAGAAATGGATTAGTTATTCACATGACAAGTTCATTTGTAACACAAGTCACAAGAACCTTTCCCCTTTAAATTCTGTCGTGAGCCAAGATGGTGGTGTGATTTTCCATATTTTGACAGGAACAGAAAATCAAGGAATTAACCAAAACATGTCTTTTTTGCACAGAAACGCTCCAAAAATTAAGCTCCTCGTTTGTGATGGAAAAAAAGACCAAATTTACTTCACCACATTTTATTTAACCCTGTGCAAACTTTCCAATTACAGAAACCTTTTGAACATTTACAATCCTTTCTGTTCTACAGTCATGGGTATAATTTTAAATTTTCTCAGGAGCATCCCCATCCTTTTCACATGAGAGTCACCCCTGAAAATATTTATTACTTTCCAATAAATTCATTATTCTCACCTGTTCTTTCACTAAGCTTGTTAAACCTTATCAGGGGGGTGCTAATAGAAACCAACAAACAAACTAGTCAGAAATTACATGGGCAGTTCAATAAGGGATGTTGAACAACCAGAACAGAAATTCTCGATCTCTAAAACCTACAATCCTGGTCAATAAGTCTTTAAACATGTTGCACTTTTGCCAACACATGGCCATTTTATCCACCTCCCCCTCAGCACCCTTAACACAATGCTGACATTGATTCATTCAGAGTAGACCCACTATTCCAACATTGCTTTGGTTGGGGGAGGGGGAGGGTGGCTCAGAAAATTGAATTATGACTTCCCATGTCAAAATAGTGTCTCACCAGTTGGCATTTTGTCAAGCACCCCACAAGGACTTTTAACAAGGATTGTAAAAGTTTGCACCATCCCAAATCAGGATTCTGTAACGTTCATATAAGATCCTCTAGGCTCTAGTGGGGTCCTTAATGGGAGCCTACACGGGATATCAACCTTGGCGAGTCCAACAAGCCAACCTAGTACAACCATAAACATGACCTCCCGTGACATCTAATGGAAATTATAATACGGAATGATAAAATTTAAGTTTTAATACCAAAGTTCAGATATTTTTCTTTCCTGAAACATTTCCAAGACAAGTATAATTTTTAAAGAAACTTAGGGATTAGGTTCTATTCTTTACTCCTGGACAACTGAAGGGTTGCGCAGAATAAGGACCTAAGTGACCGTTAATGTAACAGCAAACTCCCAGGGAATGGACTCCCATACAAAAATGACGGGGCTGCTCATCATACCTTTTAGGGGTGAAAAAGTTGGTTTTGGTACCTCTTAGGGTCTTAAGTCTCAAAAAGTCCACAGCGGGAGCTTTTGCCGTACCCTTTAGGTACCTCTTAGAGGAGAAAAAAATTCCAAGCCACACCCACAAAACAGGATCTTGGTACCTCTTAGTGGTTCTTTTCAAAATTCCCGAAAAGCACGTTTCAGAAGGGAATGCAAGACATTCTGGACAGAGAATCTCGCAATTTATCAGATGTCACTTAAGGCTTCTTTCAAGGCATGCACCCCTTCAATTGAACCTCTACAAATGGACATCTCACATTAATCAACATTAAGTCATGCTCTCAGTAATGTACAAATCTACATTTTCCATTACCATCCCATAAGTGGGCTCTTTTCTTCAATAAACACTTTAAGGACCTGTTTACAAGGAAAGAGGGTTACCCCAGCAAGCAGGTTACCCTAGCACTTGCACATTTCCTTGTTTTTCCTTCGCTGTGTTTACAAGGCAGCTAGGGTTACCCGGGTTGGTGAGTTACCCTGTCTGCATGCTAGGGTTACCCTGGCAGGCGGGTTAACTTTTTCCCTTGTAAACACTCCAGGTAGGGTTAACCCGCCTACCCAGGTTTACTTTCTAATTGTTTCCAGACCCTTTGAGTGTAACCCCACATTAAGTTGTCCCAGGTTGTAGGGCTACCCTAGCTGTGAAATTTTGCTTCTAAACCCAGGCTATCTTTTGCCCTCCAGCTTGGGTTAACCTGCTTGCTAGGGTAACCCTCCCTCCTTGTAAACAGGCCCTAAGATCCCAAGGGAGGGTGACAAAGGGTTTATGGTGTAGCATGTAAAAAGCAACTTAGACATTAAGTGATTTGTAAATTTATGAAAAAGAAACCTTGCTAACAGTACTTAATTTATTCATGAAAGAAGATCACAGCCCCCCCCCCACCCCTTTACTACCCTCACATGGGTGTCCACTTATAATAGGTGTGACATAAAATTACAGTATAATAGAATAAAGACTTGTGATATTCTTACTTGCCAACCATTCCAATAAATCCATGCCGCAACTCCTTAAACAATTACACAAAATATTCTTTACCAAAACAAATTGCAACAAAATATAATGAAATTACATAAAATACACCTTGGAGATGTAGGGTGGGTTTAGAGTGGGGAGGAAAACAGGACGGTTTATGCAGGTACATCAGCATTCTCAATTCAGTCTACATGTTCTAACAAAATTACTTAAAGAGGAAAAAATAAAGGCAGATCAAAAAACACAAACTGGTATACTTGGGACCAGGAGTCTCAACCTAGGACCATACCATTTTATATCAACACCATGTGTTCCTGTTAACAAAGGAAAGGGCTAAGAATTTCTTTTCTGAGAGGCTCAGTTAAGTATCATTTGAGCCTCATTTTGATCTTAGCTTTTGTATCAGTTTTCTTCTTCTTCCCATTGAAAGAAACAGCTTTTTCATGAGGGGGTAAAGAAAAATTGGTTTATTTCTAAAGTTGACATCAAGTCAGAGCCTTGATCTTTTTTTTCTCTAGTCGGGGGTCGTAAATTTTGACTTAGTTCAACCCAAGGGGGAGTGGATATAAATTGGCTTGGCCAGTTATGGGAGAGGGGGGGTGGGGGGCAAAAGGGCATGTTTTAGATTTTAACTTTGCAGTTTTACCTACCACAAGATTTATTCTCAAAATAGTGCTTAGTTCATCTTTAATTTTTCTAAACCGAGTATAAACGAATAAACTGCATAAAATGTTTACGTCAAGAATTTTTTTTTTCTGGTCATTCATGCACATTAAATTACTTGACCGCTGAGTGCCTGGTCTGTTGTCATGACAAGTCCCATAAACATCTTACAAACAAAAATGTAAGCTTATATATGTTAAATTTACGAATGTATTTTTGTAAACCACAAATAGGTAATGTAGTAAGTTTTGAAAAATGTAAAAGCCCAACCTAAGCTTAACCCGGGCTTAGTGAAGCACTTAGACAGCCTACAAATTTATTCAAGAAGCTCTTGTGTGCCTAAATATTGATTTCTGATGTTCATGGAAAAATATATTTTTTAACACTTACCTTGGAGAAATATCTGACCCTTAAATCAATTAAGGGACGAACTTTTAAAAGTCGAATATTTTGCACGACTTTTTTCGCGGCCATGTTGGTAGAGCCCCCAGGGAAGAGCTGCTGACCAAAAATAGCCACCGATCAATTATCGACTCTTTATATGTTAGTAGCTTCGTACATTCTCATTCATGTAAAGCTAAAAATATATATTTTTATTTATACGGATGTGCATGATATTTATTTATACAGATATATATGGAAGCTAAATTCTTCCGACTTTCAAAGCCAAGACGCGACATTTTCGAACGAAAAGCGAGCTCTTAATTAGACAATCGATATTTGATCGTTGTTGTCGGCCGTCATGGTCCGGGCTGGGGCCCGGGCGTCAGGGTCGGCCGTGTAGGATGACGGGAGTTACACGGCAAACAGTAAAGTTTACTCCAAGAACCCGTCAATGAATTCTGAAAACAGATGGATTAACTGAGCAATATAGAGGATTTTTATACAGGAAAATGATAGTAAATGAAACATAGTGGTATACTTTGTGGAGCTGCGTTGCACTCCAGTATGATCAGGGCAAACTGCCTTCGCTACCACTCTTGATATGTCGAGCCTTGGAGCGTTTGTTGGTGGGCCCCTGGGAGAGGAAGATGTGGAAGAGTTACGCTCCGAGCGTTCCATACGAGGACTCAAGGTCAATATAGCCTGGATTTTGCCATAACTGATATAATATAGGTCGTTATTCTGGTCTAGGCTCTAGTGATTTTAAAGAATTGCCATTTTAAATTTCCATCTTGCCACAGTCTCAAGAAGAAATCGAGAGACTCACAGTTGACGAGAGTCTGGATGACATCGAACGGGCTGTGTTACTGTTGAGGTGAGTAGAGTGGAAAACTTCAAAGAAGTATGCTAATAGGGAGTAATCCTAGCAATTAAACATCGCTAAAAAATGCCGAAACTTCAATGCATAACTCGTTGTCACTGGATCGGTGAGTTAAATTGATTACGGAAATTTTCCAAATTCGTTTCCGTCACGATCAACCAGCGCGTCTGTTTAACTGCGATTACTACTTTGAGAATGGTCGACTTTATTTTGTTTGGTGGATTACGCTTGTTTTTAGATGGATTAATATATTCCTCGAAGACCGCCATTGACCTTGGTTTAGTTTTTCTTGAAGTATCGTAGTCATAGCTTCAAAAACATAACGTCGCAATCAATAGAAGTGTGTAAATTACTCACTTCGCGATGATACGGCGAAATGTCATGACTTCTGGCCGCCAAAGACTAAACTGTCGTTGATAAAGCGCAACAGGACCGTCAGGCCCAAAAAGATTATTAACTTTCTACTTAACGGCCAATTCTAGATATTGGTAAATGTTTTGTGCGCGGATATGTATACATTGAACAGGGACGAGTATTAGCCGTGAGCAAATACATCTGAATAGTTTGTGTGACAATTTTAAGAGGCGAAGATTTGACTAGAGGCCTTGTTAAAACTCAATTGAGCAATCCACTTATTAATGATATTTCTTGGGTTTCGTTTGCTGCATTTTGAAGTAGATGACTTTCTTAATTAATCTTAATCCAATACACTAAGGAAACTCGTTTCCCTGTAATGCTTTGTATCAATTATTTCTGGTGAAAAAGAAATTTGCATAAAATTAAAAAATTGCAAAGAAATAAACAAAGTTGGATCACGTATTGTAGGTTGGAACTGACACGTTATGTATGCAAGGTCAGGTCACAGAGTATTTTTATGTTAAATGTGAATTGTGTTTGGAGCTTTGCCAAACTTCAGTTGATGTTTGTTACATGTAGATATCTGAAAAAACAGCCCTTTTAGCGTGCGCAAGACATTTTGCAGAGAGTCATCTGCACAGGAACAAAGATGTTTTGTTTTGTCTGCTGCTGTGTTTTTAATTTACGGCTGTGCTAAAAGCTGTTCCATATCTCACTGGGTGACCAACCTTTTTTCTTTGAACAGAGAGATTAGCCTACTGGGCTAAACTGAAAGATTACTTGTTCTGTAGCATGTCTTTCATCTCAATTTTAAACGGGGTATGGCATTCAATATTGACAAGTCCTGTATAAAAATTGATCAAGGGCCTGTTTGAGTAATTCCTGTTTGCGTTTGTTCGAGTTTTAGAACAGGTGAATTTGTGCACATACATAGAAGTGTCATTTTCCCATTGTAAATTGCATTTTTAAAAAGTGACTTCTAAAATTTATGAGAAATGAAAATTTCATGACCTATAGCAGGTGTGAATAAGTACTATACATTAGCCATGGAAAATAGCTCTCTTCTCATCACTGAGCATAATAAATTACACTGCTCTTGAAACTGATAGTTACTTTTAAGCTTAGGCTTAAAAAATATACACAAAATTGAAGATTTTTTGCTGTAATCCTTTAGAGTGTCTACTAAAACAATTAAACTACTTGCCCTTGTCTTCTATGAGCAATATATAAACAATAGCCTCCATTTGACACAAAAATATGTTGGGATATTTGTCCACTGATGTAATGTATTCCAAAAGCGAAGTTCAAGGAAAACTTTGAGGAACATATAATGTCCAAGGAAAATGTTTGTTATTCTTATTCTTTTAGCTGGAGTATATTCAGTCACATGATGCTTTTAGACCAGCTGTGTGCGAGTGAAAATATTTGATGGATAATTTATAATCCATCATAGAAAGGAAAGTTTTCTTCACAAACATCTTGACAGTTTGTGAAGGTTTTCTTCAGAACTAATCTTGACAGTTTTTTTTTATTATTATTATTTTGACTTTTATAGTTCTGGAGTGGAAATCCAAAAGCTCAGTATTATAAATAACTTGCCCAAACTCCTAGAAAAAAACAATGCTGATGTTAATAGGAGAGTTGTACCAGTTCTTAGGGTAAGTACAAAGTAAAACTTTGTGCAAGAAATCTGTTTAATAGTACCATAATTCTTAACATACGTGTAACTTGCCAAGCGGTCATTAAGACAAAAAAAGTTATTACCAAAACTTCTTCCGTTAATTATGCCATATTTGTGGGTTTGTGTTACAGCTTTTTGAAGAAAACTGTAACTTCTGCCAATAGTAAATATGGTATGCCCCCTATCATTGGGCTCAATAATTTGTATTGTATTGGAGTATGGTATGAAATCTGTATTTGTTTTGGTTTTCATATGATTATTTTTATTATCATTAGTGGGTGGATTCTTGTATACACATGTATATCATGTATGTATGAACCTTCCAAATATAAGTTACCCAAATATTTTTTGAAATCACAAAATTACCTCTAATAAATATCTTAATAATATAAGTCTCCTAATATAAGCCCTCCAAAAAATAAGCCTGCTTAAAGTATTTTTTACCAAACATAAGTCCAAGGCTTAATATATGATTTATATATCTAAAAACTGCAAACTCCTAAAAATAAACTATTGATTTTTGATTGTGTGGCTCCTATTAATTTGTACTTAAACATTTTCAGGATTACCTGTACATTGCTCCTCTTCATGTCCAACTGGAAGCCACAAAGTCTTTTTCAAGTATCATTCAAAATGGCACAATACCAGCATATATGTTTTCTTCATCTTTTTTGCCGATCATACTGCACAACCTTGACAACAGGGATACTGGTGAGTGCACTTGGAAGTCCTCTTAAAAACCTCTCTCCTCTCACTAGTTTCTGTTGTTCTACATGTATAACTGCTAACCTGGCCCAGGTTGTTTGAAAGGTAGATAACGCTATGCACCAGATAAATCACTATCCAGTTGATAGCAGGGTTTGTTGTGTTAAAACTTATCCACTGGATAGGGATTTATGCAGTGGAGAGCGTTATCCAGCCTTCGAACAACTGGAGCCTCTACTACAGTTGTAATGAAACAGCCCTGAGCATTAATGAGGTGTGCAGAGGCAGGTAGCTCTTTTTGTGACTTCAGGTCAAGCTGGCACTTGAAAGAAAGCATCAGATAATAACATACTTATTGCCTTGGTCTTGGCTTCAATCTTAGAATATTCAGATCCTGACCTCAAAATCTCAGCCATTATCTTTGCACTCGTTCTCATATCATTCCAGATTCTCTTATATAGAACTTGATTGAGATTATTCTGTTGTTGTTTTTATGTCAATACCTGTGCAGGTCACATCTAACATCATTTTGTTTTACAGTTGTTTCAAATGCCTGGCTCGAAACTCTCTTGACGTCCATTGATTTCCTTCCCAAAGATGTCATCAAAAGAGAGGTAACCATTTGTTACAAAGTCTGTTTTTTCTTCCTTGTGCAAAAGATAACATTCTGATCACCTTAAAAGTACCAAGTCAACCACTTCTTTGTTCCTTCAGCAAAGCAACTTGTAACCCTAAAGGAAGGTATGCCACTTTTTACACATTTCAAACAAAATATTTTGATTTATTCACAGGTCCTTGGTATTGCCATCTCCAAGGGTCAGCTTTCCCAGACAGTAAACTGTAGACTGGCAAGCTGCAAGCTGCTGGGTCAAATTGCTCCAAAGTTTGAAACTTACTGGTAAGAAAATTTACACATGTACATGTAGCCTCATTGCATCTGCCTTTAAGTTTGATGTTCCGAAGTGTGTTTATCTAATTTCTTCTATGGCAAAGGAAAGGTGGAGGCAGTGGCTTCGTGGTTAGCATGCTGGACTCTGGATTGAGTGGTCAGGGTTTAATCCCTGGCCTGGGACATTGTGTTGTATTCTTGGGCAAGACACTTTACTCTCACAGTGTCTCTCCACCCAGGTGTACAAATGGGTACTGGTGAATTTAGCATAGAGAGTAACCCTGCAATGGACTAGTGTCACATCCAGGGGGGGTTGAAATACTCCTAGTTGCTTCATGCTTCAGGAACTGGGGATAAACGCCCGTCTGATGGGCCAAATGGCTTGTATGTGGGCTTTTCTATAAGAGTGACACTTTCTATGCCTGATGCCTTTTGTAGGATTAAGAAAGAGTTGATGGGTTTGGTAGCATCATTGTGTCAAGATGTTGACTATGAAGTCCGAGCTTGTATGTGTCAACAGCTGGAGACTATAGCAAGAGCTCTTGGGTAAGCCGATCTTGATTTACCAAATTTACAAGCCTAGTAAACTTATTACAGTCAGAAACTCACTTGTGATACATTGTACTGGTGCGTTTAACCCTTCTTTAATTAGTAGACGCTTACTCTTTTAGCAGATATAGACCTGCAAAAGGGGAGGGGGGGGGGGGAATCCCATATCAAAAGGATGGGGTGCTCATCAGAAATTTTGAAAAGAATCCCTAAGAGGTACCAAGATCCTGTTTTGTGGGCGTGGCTTGGAATGGGTTTTTTTTTTTACCCCTAAGAGATACCCATTCTAAAACAAGACATTATCTCCTGTCATATTTTTTCGGCTCAATACCCTAAAAGGTACCACAAAAGCCTCTACTGTGGACTAGGCTGAACACCCTAAGAAGTACCAAAAGTGCATTTTTAACCTCCAAAAGATATGACAAGCACCCCTGCCTCCTGGGATGTAGACATCTCAACTGTGGCGGATTAGGTACTAGTGACAAAATACACTTACATGTAAATCCCAGCTATAGATCTTAAACTCTCAAAGGAAAAACAAATAGTGTGATATGGCAAAGCAAGAATTTAAGATCATTCATTGATAGCAAATGACTGAAAAAGCCAATCCAAGCAAGAATAAATGAGTTCAAGATAATTGGGGTTTGAGAATACTGAGTTTGAAATAGGACGGATCAACTCTAGCATCATGCTGTTATAAGAGACAAAAATAATTTTTAAATTTTTAATTGCTCTGTTTCAAATTATTCTGGCAAAGGTTTTGTTGTGTTTGTTTGTTGTTTGTTTTGTATTTTAAGTGCATGGCAACACAGGGCTTCATAAAAAAATTGAATTCTAGCCTGCCCTTGGGACAAGTATATCCAGCTCTCAAATTTTGCTTGCCCTGGTCCAGTCTTAATTTGCTCTTTTAATGATTTGGCAAATGATTTGTTGATCTGAATGAAAAGTTACTTGCCCAGAAGGAAAATCCACTTGTCCAGGACAATGGGACAGCACTCTTTTGAAGCCCTGAACAGTTCAGTCATTTTCACATTAAGCTTTAAACCTGCTACAAGTTGTGATGTTTGTTTGCCATTGATAGATTGAGTATAAAATCTTGACATTTCTGACAGGCTGGAAAGTACACAAAGTATTATTATCCCTGAGCTGGTTGAGCTGACGAATGATGAGGAGACGAGTGTTCGACTAGCTGGACTGGAAACAATCACAAACCTGCTCAGTCTCCTTGATGATGGTGAGGGTATGAATTTGTTTTGGTCTTGTAAAACAACTTTACAGCTTGACTCTGCTATTAGTAACCTCTTACTGACAGAGGGCAAGGGCAGTACTGAGGAATATTGGCCCAAGTTTCAGTATGTGCACTTGGTCCATACAAAAATGACTGATTTCCAATATTCCCCAGTACGGTTCGAGCAAACTAGGTTAGTAAGTAGTTTATTGTAATGGTACAAAACAAAACAAAAATACATGGCGTATAAGCATTTCCATGGAAACGGTCCATATGGCAAAGTCCTGTACAAGAAAGAACCAGTCAGAATGCTCGGATTTGCTTCAAGACTACCTTGCCATAGAATGAATACTGCTAACAGTAAGTGAGGTAGACTGTTGAAGTTTGAGAACATCCATGCATGATCCCAACCAAAACTAAAATACTTAATACTAATATTACTTTCTCCATTAATGCATTGCCATTAACAATGGGATGCATCTTGACACAGAGTTATTAACAGAGGAAAACAGAGCATCATTACATTTTTATTTATCACAGATACCTGTACAGCTGTTATAATTCCTTTGGTTCAGAAATTCTGTGATGAAATTCCTAAACAGTCTTCAGAATCACTTCTCACAGTAGCACGGCTGTTTGGAAAACTTTCCTATGGCTTGTCAGGTGAGGATAACTTTTGTTTCACTGTAAGGTACACTGTATTTCAAAACAGAAGCATTTCAATATTATTATATCGTGAATGATTCATCAAGTTTAAACAAAGGAAATCTTGACCGTTATGGTGTTCAAATCTCTGATTTTAATTAGGATAGATTTTAACCATTTTTTTTTTCCAAGTCCTCTCCTTAGTTTTAGTTTCAATTGAGAAGATATATCGAAATACTCACCACAGCATTTGACCACATTTCCAAACACCTCGAAGTTTGTCAAGAGTACTCCACGTCATGTTGTATTATAAACTCTCTTGGTGTTTGCAAATGTGGTCACATAGTCTTTCGTGTTTGATATGTTACTTCAAAACCACCCACTGTATTGGTTGTGTGTTGATCCTGTGTTTCTTGTCTTTAGTTAACCTTGACGACAGTAAAAAGAGATGGTTCTTAGAGTTCTACAAGAGAATGTGCTACTGCGGCAATCCCAACAAAAATAACAGAGTAGGCAGTGTGACGCTTGCACTTCAGGTATGAAAGAAATATGGTCATTTGTAGTAACATTGAACTCTTGTAAAGAAATTAAAGTGCAAAGTATCAGGGGTTTCATTAATGTTTTCAGCAAGAGGACGAATGGTTTTTACAGTTTGACAAAAATTTTTGAACTGAATTTCCTTATAAGAACTTTCCTCTACATGGTCAAATGAGGCGGGGAAAAGTCGTCCTCAGGGCTGGTTAATTTGCCCGGTGCCCAGCCCTTAAGGAAACCCCTGAAGTATTGTGTGGTTTGATTTGGACGGAATGTAAAACAGTTTAAATTTTTGTCTTTTGTTTATTTTCAGAGTTCTGTTTTGTCTGGCGCCACCATTGATGATGACCCTGAAGCAGAATGCCGAAGATGCTGTGCATTCAATTTCCCAGTGAGTACCTAAATCACTTAAATCACAATTAATTGACCTCGCTCCCAATATGTGGCTTCATAGCTCAGTTGGTAGAGCATCGCACCGGTATCGTGGAGGTCACGGGTTCGAATCCCGTTGAAGCCCTGATTTTTTTCAGCCTTCTTCTTTCCAATTGCTTAAATTGGAAAATTTACTGCGATGATCATTCTTCACTTTTAAATTACACGTTCTTCACTTCTTTTTTCTAACCTTTCCTTTCACCTTCTGAACAATTTTTACAATCCATTCCTTCCATACTTTCCCTTCTCTTTCCTCTTTCATCCTTTGTCACTTTCCCGTCCCTTGCCTTCTCTGCCTCTTATCTTCCTCTACCACCCTCCCTTCTCTCTATCTTTCCTTCCTCTCACCCTCCCTTTCTGTAACACCCACACCATCTCTTCCCCACCTCCCCTTCCCTACCTCCCTCCCTCTACTCTTCCCTTCTCCCACCTCTCTTCTCTATAATGCCCCCACTCTCTCTTTGGCAGTCACTTTCTCTTCCTTCTTTAACACTTCCCCACCCCCTTCATTCTCTCTCATCCTCTTCACCTCTCCCACCCCTCATAAGTTGTTCATCAGTCGTTAATTGGAGATATGCATTGTATAGTAGTTAATATTTAATCATTAAACCTGTCTGTCTTTATATCTTTAGGCTATGCTGCTGTTCTGTGGTGCCCCTGGTTTTCAAGCCGAGCTCTCCGCCACATTTCACTCCCTTGTTGAAGATCCTCACGCTCTGGTCAGAAGAACTATAGCATGTGGATTTCATGAGGTATGAAAGACTAAGTTCGAGTTGCTGCTTTTAAAGGAGCTTAATCTCGGTATTTTGCGTTATTTTGAACTGAATTAAATTGAAGGAAACCTGAAAATAATAGTTAACTACGGTAGAATAACACCAAAGCGATAAGAACTGAAAGAAAACGACAAAACTTTTAAGTTTCAAAGACGCTTCTCGACAGAACCTACTCTCATGTTCAGCTGATTGATGTACAAAGCATTGGAAGTAGAATTTATAGTAAGTAGAAAAATGCTCTTTGTCACAACAAAATGAGGCAAAGCGTGAAAGTGTGAGAATTATAAGGATAGTTTTAGATTAGACGGTGTTATTGTAGATTTAAAAAGGGTTGTTCTCTTGAATGTGAATAGCCTTTTGTTTTATTATTTTAAGTTGGAAACTACTGGAGGCGTGATCCAAAACATGGAAACAATTTACTGAACCATAAAGGAACAAGGATGGTTTAGGATGGAGAAAATTAACACGAATTACAAACAACGAACTCGAAAAATTTAGGCTAAACTACTCGAGATGTGCAAAACGTGATGTAGCTCGTTTAAGAAAGTGAAATTCAAGTGGATTATAAGGCACAATAAATGACAGGTTAGCGAGACATAAAAGAAACCCCACAATAAAACAATTTTTCTTTTATAGTTTTACTCACAGTTAGTTGTTTTCTAAACTTTCCAGGTGGCAAAACTTTTAGGAACAAATGTTGGTACAATTCAACAAGATTTAAGTGTATTATTAAAGGATGAATCTATAGAGGTGAGTAAAAAATCCATCCAGCTATACTTAGCATAGCACAAAGAAACATAAAACATTTTCTGTGTTTCTAGAGAGACACGAGTGTAAGTTTTGGAAAACAAGAAAAGCTGCGGGAACACAAGCAAACTGTCGGCCGTTTGTTGACCAACAGTCGGCCGACTAACGGCCGACAAGCGACCGACAGTTGGCCGACAGTCGGTCCACAAAATTTTTTGGGAACTGTTCTTCACTTTTATCCAAACTTTCATGAGTTTTCCTATAATACCTATAGGAACACGGAAATGTTTTTCATATACTTTAGAAGGCACTGTTCGAAAAATAGAAAATATCCCGTATATTTTAATTATGAAAATGTAAAATGATCTTTTCGCGGGCCATTGCGTTAGCATCCCGTTCTAGTTCTGTGTTTCTATCCAGTTAATGTACAGTCTGTACGGGTTTTAACGCGCGTTTTCTTAAAGACAATTTCCGTTCTTTAACGAGTGCGCCGAGTAAAACAGCAAATATCTCACGATATTTGTACTCTCGACTTATTTCAGGTACTAGAAGGTCTTATACCAAATTTACCAGGGAGTTTAGAATGTTTAGCGAGTGGAGGTCATTCAACTATGGCAGATACCAAGGTATATATTATACGATTTTTTGATGTGGTTTCTTGTCATGTGAGAGAATTGAGATGTATCTGGCTTTATGAGAAGAATCTTCTTGTCTCTGTTTCAGCTCAATAATTTGTCAAATCTTATTCCATCACTGATTGCTTCTGAGCTCGCGGTGGACTCGTCAAGCAACTGGCGCCTCCATGTCCAATTATTAGAAAAGTTTTCATGCTTCCCCAAGTGTCTGACGTCGGATCAGATTTACTACAAGTTTGTACCGTTGTTCTTCAGACTGTTATCATCAAATGTAAGTTTATGTTTAGTGTTACATGTACTTAATATCGGAGTGTGGTAAGACAAAGACCAAAGCAACTGCAGTGACCAATCACAACCAACTAAACGACGCAATGAACCAATGAGAACTCAAGGAAAATACACGCAATCCGCGCCAAGCGCGGGAAAACGCACGTGAACAAGTAGCGATTACTTTGATTGGTTGAGCAGTTGACGCGAGTTTTTAAACCAATCACAGTGAAGCCAACCTGTGACACTCAATTGAACGCTCCAAGGTACTCGCTTATTCAACCGTTCGTTCTTCTTTCGTTTTGTCGGTCAGTCGTTCGTTCCTTCGTTCCTTCGTTCGTGCGTTTGGTCGTGTGTTTGTTCATCTTTCGTTCACTGTAAAATACAGAACATTATCATTTCTACAAGTAAATATATGAAAGACCATATATTTGAACTGCGGAGAAAGATATGAATTTATGATTGATCATCGCATTGATGATCAATCATATCTTCATATCTTTCTCCGCAGTTCAAATATGTGGTTTTTCATATATTTACTTGTATTCTTCACCATCTACGGGTATATTACGAACTCACAAAATTACCAGCTCCCAGATGGCTTGATAGCTCAGTTGGTAGACCACTACACTGGTATCGCAGAGGTCATGGGTTCGAATTCCGTTCAGGCCTGAATTTTTTTCAGGCTTTAATTTAACAACTGCTTAAGTTGTCTGTATAACTGCGATGATCAATCATACCTTTATTATAATTTCGCCATGTCAGGCAGTTCCAACTCCGGTCTCCTTACGTAGCATTAAGCAACACTTAACTGTCTTGTTTTCTATCCTGTTTAGCGTGTTTTACCTGTCAAGTTGGCTGCAGCACACACATTATGCGTTTTCATCCGATACAACAGAAGATTTGAACAAAGACAAGAATTGTGTTGTAGACTAATACAAGGTACAGTACTAAGTCCTTCAACTTGTTCTTCCCCACATCGTTATTGCTGTGTTTTCCTTTGTGTCAATAGCAAGAAGCTTAAAGGAGTAAGGCTGTGATATTTTAAGTCACTCTTTTTGTGTTTTGTTCAAAATTGCCTCACTGATTTCAAATAAAAGAAAATAGAAGGAAATCTTCGAATAACAGTTAGGCGAGGTAGAAAACCCAAGAGGTTTTGCTTCAGTTTGATTCTGTCTTTAAACTAAAATACTTAAAGGAGCTCAGTCACGGTGTTTTGAGTTATTTTGGCCACATGCAAAATTACCTTTATATTGAAAGAAACCTGAAAATAATAGTTAACTACGATATAAGAATACCAAAGAGATAATAATAAACCATAAAGAGACAAGGATTGTTGAGGATGGAGAAGATTAACACGGATTACAAAACTACGAACTTGAAAAATTTAAGCTAAACTTTTGAAGATGCGCAAACCGTGACGTAGCTCCTGAAATACTAATGACGTCACAAAAATAAAATTTTTGAAATTATGGGATATGATGTCATTTTCTTATAGAGGATCCCAAACGATGCCCTCATCCCAAAAATTAGCTCTGAATTGCAATCCCCGATAGAGATATAAGGGATTAAAGTTTGATAGCATCCCATACAAACCCTTCAAAACTTGTTTCAGTTCCTTCAGTTTAGAACTGACTCAAAATTAGAGAGATTTATATGGGGCAGTACCAAATTTTCATCCTTTATATTTTGGCTGGGAATTACAATTAAGAGGTAATTTTTGGTAAAGACCCTTTTTGAAGGACGTTCTATTCAAAAATGGCGCCAAATTCCATAATTTCTCAAATTTATTTTTTTGTGACGTCACACTTTAGGACTCTATAACTTTCTAATTTTCACTGAATGGATTAATTTGTGTTTTTGTTTCTCTTCATTTTAGAATGCGGAAGAGGAAAGAGCTACAGAAGTAGACTATTATTCATAGATATTTGCAAGTTTATAATGGAATTATTTTCGCGACGATTCTTCAAGGAGAATTTCTTTGAATTTTTATTAGAATTGGGCTCGGTAAGTCATTATCCTGTATGTCGTGCAAGCTTCACTTAAGTGTCCGTTATGGTAAAGAACAATAATATTTCGCTCATTCATAAAAGTGACAGATTCATAGTGTATGTTTAGTGGCCTAAGGGTTTTAAACTAATGGATACTATTTACTGTTTTGTTTTGTTGCAGGACCCTGTGTTAAATGTAAGATTAAAGTTTTGCACAATTCCGCCGCGCCTCAAATCTTTGTTAAAATTACCGTCAGACAGGCATTTGTTACAGCAGCTCGAGCAATGCATCAGAAAACTTCTAAGCTCTGAAAAAGAACCTGATGTGTGCAATGCCGTCAGAGAGGCAAGTTCATTTTATCAGTATGTTAAGTTTTAATTGAACTGACCGGTCAGTGTTGACAAACTTTGCACGAGTCTTACAGCCAACACCATCAGGGTTAAACTGACCAAAGGCAATATTAGTTTCAACGGACTAGACTTATAAAACCATAGATCGGTTAACATTTTTTACTTGACTATGAAGCAAAAGAATAGTGGTCTGTTCCTTAAGGAGGCTAATGAACTCGTGGTTACTGGCAGTTAAAAAATCCAGTCCTACTTTTGACAGGGTAGAAGGCTATGGTTGATTGACAGTTTTCTTTGTTCCTATTTCTAGGCTTTTATGAAGCTAGATAAAACAAAGTACGAAGATGACAAGATGGACCAACAGAAGGAAGAGGAGGAAAGGCTCCTAATAGTCATAGTAATTATCAATCACCAACAACTTGATTCTCCTTACAATATCAATGTAAAGTCAGGGGTGGAGGTTACGAGAAAATAGGATATGATCTCAACTTTGAATTGTGATGATTTGGATATGGTATCAACTTCCCCCAGCTGGTACTATAAGAACTGTATGAAGACAGGAAAGGAGAATTTGCCTCAACATAAGATTAGCCTCCCTTGCAGACTTTCTTTGGCTGGTCACGCACTCAATGCGTGACAATCCCAACGAGCGTCTGGATGGCTGCGCGCGCGTTACTGTTGCTGGGATTGCCACCCAGTGGGATTGTCACGCAACGTGGACGGTGGACGGAAGGTTGCTGTTTATTTGTTCGTGGCGTACCTGTAAACTAGCTTTTTAGCTAAGCGTACCGACCACGTTAAATATGTTGATTGATTGATTGATTGATTGATTGATTGATTGATTGATTGATTGATTGATTGATTGATTGATTGATTGCGTGACTACTTAAATATGCGAAGGAGTCACGCTTTTTGTCAAAAGCTGCGAGTTTCGCGCGCGTGTTAATGCATGAGAGTCTTGGTATGACTCTGTCTTGAGCAAGATGTCAATATTCTGTCTTAAATCGTCCATAGGAGGAGAAAGAGCGAGAGGAACTCGCTGGTGCAAACAAAGTTTCAGATCCTAGAAAGAAAGGAACCAAAGATGACAAGACTAGAAAAGGTAAGACATGGCTTAGACATGGGTGAACTCATCAATGAAGTCGTTATAACTATTGTAAAAGAAGATCCTGGCCCATCGATAAATGCTGTTGAAAACGTTATCGTTTTTCCTTGGCTATTCTGGTATGTCTTTCTTTTAGAAAGTAGTAGTATTCCCATCTCCGAGAAGCGAACTCTGTCGAGGCTAGAAAAGAAAACTGAGTTTTCGCAGCATTGTTTGTTATCTTGGTTCGATCTCTGCCGCTGTCTCGCGTCCGGTCTCTGTTCCTCTCCAAAAAGGCTGAGGAGTTGTAGGAGCGCGGGCTCCATTCCCGAATAGCGGCTGGGAATCGAGGCTATTCTCGTTTTGATCCGCTTTGTCGGTGTTGTTGCCTTTTTAACAAGGTTGAAGGCATTTCTAGATTACGCAGTAGGAAACTGCTTTCATCTCTACTACCGAACTGAACCGAAGGAGCTTCCTAAACAGACGCCCTTCGCAAAAGGAATGTTGGCGTAGGGTGCTGTAACTAAGGAAGATGTAGTTGAGTATTAACCGATATTTACAATGTCGTGATTTATTTATTTTGTTTTTGGATTATGTCTAGCTGTCGCTACTAAAAGTAAAAGTAAACCTGAGAGTCACGTGCAGCTAAAGCGAACTCCTTCCAACTCTGGCTCCTGTAAGTAAATCAGCTAAACACTTGGTTTTTATAACGTGCGTTCTCATTGGATGGCGTGGTGTTTTATAGCTTAGTTTATGTAAAAAGTGCACTGTGACTAGGTGAATACGCATGCATGTTTATAATAATGATACATGTAATGTTTATGATTGAAAGCCTATGTTTCGTGTCATCTGCATTTTGTTCGTAATCTAAAATTCCTGTCCTGTTTTTTTAGAATACAATATATGTCATGACTTTGGGTTCTTTGCTTGCAGCTCGAGGTTTCGCCTCTGTCGTGCTGTGCACACATCTTTTTCATGTAAATACTCGGTTTTGTCTCATCCCCCCTCAACATAAACTGTATTCCTATTTTCGATATTTGTTAACTTGTTCTGTATCGCTAGCTGCTACCGGCACGGCCAAAGCTTCTCAGAAGACCGCTCCACAGAGAAACCTGGGGTCCAAAGGTTCACCTTCATCTAGTCTTCAGAGACTACCCAACCTATCCTCAGCCCTCCCCGCCACTGCCGGACCAAGCACCACCGGGTCTTGGAAAGGATCTAATGCTAGCACCCCAACGGCACGAAGCTCCGTCACGTCCAGTACGGTGAAAACAACCGGCAAGACAACCAAGGAGAAAACGTACGGGTTTTTTGGCTTTCATTTTCATTTCTTTGGTAATCGTTTTACCGTTCCCCACGCAGACGCTGGCTGGATTTGTCGCACATTCGAGAGAGGGGAGGGGAGGGGTGGGTAAGGCCCCCTCCACACTACGACGGAGGAATTTGAAAACGGAAGTTTCACTCTGAAAACGCATCAAATGTTTTCCGTCCTAACTACGCCGGAGGAATTTAAAAACGCAGCAATCACCGGTCATTTTGGATTTGTCTTCGAAGAAAACACGGTCAGGAAAATCACATGATTATCGTGACGCCACTGTTTTCGAAAATCTCCGTTTTCAAAATGTTTTCCGTTCACATGAAAGCGAAAAGGCGGCGTTTTCAAATCCCTTCAGCTTGCAGAGCGTTTTCAGAAAAAGCTCCGTTTTCGTGACGGATTAGTGTGGGCGGTACGCTTAACCGTAAAAAATAAAGCTGCGTTTTCACATTTTTCTGGCGTAGTGTGGACGCTGCCCAAGATTGCCTGCCGAACCCAACGAAAGTTTCAGGGCTCGAAATTGCGACTCACGGGGACTAAATTTTCAGAACTGGTCGCCAGCTGGCGACTCGCGTTTTGTCCGATAACTAAAGAAAACCACGACGCAACTTTGGTTTTTAAATCTTTATATTAGGAAATCAATCGGATATGGTAGCTAGTATACAACTCACCTTTCCGTCCCCAGTAAAATAATGTCGGAATATTACAAGATAATCGAAAAAATTGAACGTATTTCGACACGTCGATACTGCGTTCACGGCGCGCCATATTGTTTCAGCGGTTTCTTCCTGGCATCGCAGGCTTACTTCAACACCATGTGCTTTTCATTTGCCGCGAAAATGGCGGCAGATACCAATCAGTTGAAGGAAGTACGTGAGTTTTTACGTGCGGAGAATGAAGATTCAGCCAAAAGGTTAATCCAAACTTTGAATCCTTCATGCATTGTTTGCCGGCAGCCAAAGGCGTCGAGGAAAGCAAGTCGAAAATAAAGCACGGCATTTGGAAGAAGTAGCAAAGGGAAAATACGCAAGGGACCGTGTTTGTTTCAATGAAAACCACGGACTTATAACGCTTTTTGCTTCGCTTCATTTAAAATGACTATGGAGACAACCATCACCTTCGGACCAGAGACATATCACCTGAGAACAACGGTAGCTTTCTAACGGTACATATATAACTAAGTGTTACTCGTGTTGTTCATAATTGTTTTCGCTCTTCAATTGTAACTTAATTTTCTTGCATGCAAAGTAACGTATGAAATCGTGTTCTTGTGTAAGTTATATATGAAATAAGTTGGCGACCAAAATTTTTCCGTTAGTCGCCACCTGGCTCCCGAACGAAAACGTTAATTTCGAGCCCTGAAGTTTGCATGAGAAAGGTAAAATCGTAAAGGTGTGGTGCTTAAAAACTAAAATGTTGATTGTCTCCGTTTCTTTCTGATTAGGAGCGACAAAACTGTAGCTGGAAAGAATAAAAAGTCGATATCAGTTAGTTCCGGAAATTCGTCGCGAGGAGGTTTCTGACAACAGGAAGGATATTCTTCACAGAGATGCGACCGTCTGTGTGACCATACATGGAGTATTGAGGATTTACTTCCAACTGCGCCAAGGACAGGATGGGTTACTCAAGACTAACACGTGATATCCAGCAAACCAGGGCATCGGGAAGAGATTACAATGAATATACGAGACTTATTTTTGTAGCTTTGTAAAACGTGGTCCTTCTAGACTGTGTAGTAGTCTTCCTGGCATCCGTTGCGTTACTTATACGCGTTGCATGACGAACCTGTGATGAACGTTTAATGTCACGCAATAGCCACGGTAGAGTCACGCGTCTCGTTGGATAACTGCATGTAACGGACATTTTGAATCCTCGGTTAGTTCTAAAGTTGTAAAATTTTTCCCATCGAGAAATATCGGTTGGAGAATCGAGCGTCATAAAAATAGTTCAGAGTAACTGGACAATTACTTAGTTCTTTGTTGAATTATATTCTTTGCTCGAATAACAACCACTCTTTTGTAAATAGTGTCTAAAATTCTTCATCTTTCTAGTCGATATATTTTAACTATACTCTGGCGTCTAAAAATATCCTTTTTAGTAAAGAATATTTATATTTGACCTTCAAGTAACCAGTTCGCACAGTCAGTTATGCAAGTTAACGAAGTGAGTCCAGTCATCTCACCATTGAGGATAAACGCTTCTAAAGTTATGACAATTAAAATATCTGCTTCAATGTGTGCTGAGTTGTTAATACAATCGGTCCTGGGGCCGGTTTCTCGAAGGTCCTGAAACTTTTTCGCTCCCGGAAAGCCATAGCAAGATCTCAAACCTCATGATTACAGAGCTGTTTTATTGACGTATTCTTAGAATGAGCAGAGGTTCTCTTCATAAAAAAGTTTCAAGCGTATACAACTCTCGGGTTTTAGATACAGATTGCCTGAAAATGGCTTTGCGGGCCCAGAACGTTTCCGGGCCTTTCGAGAAACGGGCTCCTGTTCTGATCCTGAATTTCAGCCGCAGAAGAACGCTGAAGTGCCTCTGCCTACTAGACAGCCTGTCTTTCTGTCCGCGCTTTTTCTCGCGATTTGATTTTCATTTGCAGAGTAGTTAGGGACGGACCATTATTTCTTTTGAGGGGGAAGGGTGGTGCTATTTTTGGGGGCATGAAATTTTTTCCCACATTTAGGTTGTGCATGAATTTTTTTGGAGGGTGATACCTTGAGTAATATATTTTTTTCAGTAAAACATAGGACCTGGATAGAAGAAAGCACGTGCAGTTTTTGCTGTGTGCATGAATTTCTCTTGGAAATTGTTCAACCGCCCCCCCTCCCCACCCCCCTTTACTAGATACCGAAGAGCTGATAACATAAGTGAGAAAGGGTCTGGGGAGAAACATTGCATGCTAATCGCAGGCCGTAAACGTATTTCTTAGAATTCTGTCAGTTTAAAATATTGTTTCCAAAACTGAGTGACGCTACAACAACGCGAGGTGTTAAGTTTGGGCTCCCAAAATTATGCCTGAAAAACTCTTTCGTGTGCTAGCTGCTGTCATAAATGATTCTGGTTGGGGTATTGTTTTCTCGCTCGTTAACAATGCAGAAAGGGCAGATGTTTGTTCACTGAATATTGTAACTTCAACCACCACTGGTGTAAGCCGTTAATGAGGTTTCATTTATTCAAATCGCTAAATAGTCTTAGTCATTACTGGATAAGAAACTTTCGAAAAAGAAACTTATGTTAGAAAAAACACATCGAAAGAGTGAGAAATGAATTCAATCTTTCTTGAAAAACATGCTCGGGCGCTTTAAATTACTGAACCGGATATGACTCAAGGAAAATAAATACAGGTGTTTCCACTGCAAGCCTGTCAGTTTGAACCACTTTATCTTCGAGACGGACGAGTAAACTATGGCTGTCTCGTCGTCACAGAGCGAGGAAATTGCAAGCTTGTTGTCTGCCTATATGGAAACTAACGGTACTACACTTGAAAGAATAACAGCTACGGAACTTCAGAAAATTTACCACAATCTGCGGCCTGGAAATACAATCAGTTTGCGCCAAGTGACAGCGGCGATTGAAACAGTCTGTTTCTGTGACTTATGTTTAAAGGATGAGGTTCTGGACGTGCTGAATGAAACCGACCGTCGTAGCTTTCTAATGCGCGACTTGGAGTGGGAATTCGAAATGTTAGATCGGGAAAAGCGAGGGACGATCACCGAAGAACAAGCTTGCTTTTTATTTAAAGCCATACACGGAAAATCAGCGGTGAAAAAATGCGAGGACTTTTTATCTAGCCGAGCTCAGCCCGGTTCGCGAGTTTCGTTGCAGGAGATTGAGGTACTTCTTTGCAATTCCCCTGAGCTAACATTATCAGATGAAGACGAAGAAGCTATCGAGACTTGAAACAGTAATCTGTTTATGATGAAAAATGTTTAACCACGCTTAATGAAAAGGATTATGTGGGATAGATTAAAATAATTATGTGATGCACACCTCGCGTTGTGGGTCATTAAATTTAAAGAATTGCATAATTTCGTAATGCGATTCATATTCGAAGGCAAAAAGAAAACCTTTTCTTTCTCGTGTTGAAAAATGAATTTGCTTTAATATTTTCAGTCTGTATTTTCAAAATAGTGTACGTTAATTTACAAAAAGTCTATAATTCTCATTAAAAACATCCGAGCGAAAGACATTTTGTACAGTATTTCCACACTTATCTTGCATAAGATTTACCTTAGGGTGTTTAAACAGCGTCAAAAGGTTAAAATTTATGCTAATTTTTTTAGATCGCGTTCAATTTTCAGAGCGGTTTCGAAAACCAAAACGAGTGTTATCAGACTTGACCAATCAAAATACACAGCGAAGACAATAAACCAATCAGAGCTTGAAGCAAAAAACGTGCAAAACACGCCAAGCGCGGGAATTGGCGCGAGATTCAAGCCACGATCGGGCGATTTAGGTTTGTTCCTGATTGGTTGAAAAAACAGCATGTTTGTTCTCATTGGTTTGAAGTAGAACTGCCAACTTCGCGGGCAAATTTCTCAAAGCTAAGGTAAATAAGGAAAATAAGATAAACGTCTCCACGTACCGAAGACAAACAGTGCACAAGCTTTGAACGCTCTCCCTTTTACAAGAAGTAGGAGTGAAACAATGAACAGAACGCATAAGTATAACTGTACAGCTGCGGCAAAACTTAGCTTTTTCCCCCTTACTGATCTACAAAGAGATCCGTGGAAGAGTGATGGAAGAGGGTCGCTCTATACAGTACCGCTGACACGTACTGTTCGTTTGCCACCTTATACTATGGTATTTGAACCTTTTTTGCTTCACGCATGTTCTATCGACTTTTAGTACGAAAATCTTTCACTCTGTGTAGGGGAAGACTTTTTCCTAGTCTCCCCCACAGCGATCAATTGGGTCATCACGCAACTTTTCCTCCTACTAATAGCTACTAGTGGTGGGAAGCGTTGCGTGACGATGAGGAGAAGTTTTTTAAAACTTTACGCGGGCTTTTGTTCTTTTCTTGAAACCAATAACTTTTCCTGGTGCAGTTCCATTTTGTGAAACAACTCTTGTCTATGTTGCTGTTGAAAACCTTTTCTGTACACTTCCTTGTTGAATTGTCCTTTCTTCTTTTATTACGTATTAATCTTTCCGCCCTTAATAAAACACCCTTTTCTCTCATCAGTCAAAAGACTTGCACTTTATTCACCGTTCTTTCAGTAACTTCAACAAAGCCTCCTGTACACTCTGCTGAATCCCCAGATCAGTGAGCACCTGGTACGGATTAAGATGATGTTTCACTAGATCAGAAAGCGCCTCCAAATCCTCTTCAGACAACAACTGCTTCACTAATTTCTCCGATTCCTCTTTGAGCTTCGCCTCTGCCAAATCTCTTTCCCTTCTCTTGGCCTCAACATCTCTTAAAGCGAACTCTGCCTCTAGACCATCCAAAACATTATGTCGGTGAAGCTCTTTAGCTCTTCGCCTCTCTTCCGCGTCAAAATACCATATAGTGATGGCATACCTTGTGCAGTAAGCCGGCAGGACTTCATGAGGATTGCGTCCGTCAGACCAAAACATTAGCAACCTATTGAGAACTGGTTCAACATCGACATGTCCATTTTCTCTATATATTCTGAGTTTTCCTCCATTGTCCTCACCCCACCCCTGGTTGAGATAATAGATAACAGTGAGGCAGCGCCCATCCCCGTCCGGGTTGTCCACATGTCGGGTGTACCCTGTTCCGTTGCCAGGGTAACAGGCCACCATAGCTTTGGCGCGACCTTCGATGCGGTACTCGCTCATTCCATCAGGGAGATTGTTACAGCAGATCACTAACGTGTCCACAAATTCTATCAGTTTAACGATATTTGGTGCGTGTTTTTCGTTGCCTTCCAGCCAAGTTATCTTGTCCCCTCGTATCTTTGTCTCGGTGAATTTCTGCTCGCTGTCCGAAGCCGTCTTCCCACCGCTCAGTTGTCCATCTTGAAAGACACCCGATTTGTGCAATTGTTTCACCTCGTTCAATATATCCAGAGCTTTCTCGTCAACAAATACATCGTTAATAACACTGAAATACTTCGTTTTCAAAGAACTACAGACAAATCTTGCTATACTGTCCAAATCTTTCCTGGCTGGTTGCGGAAACTTATGTAGCTTTTCATTTGCTGCCGGGATTTCAGAAGTCGTTTTACAGTTTGGCTTGTGAGCTTTCCAGTGCGACTTTTGGCATTCCTTACTGCAGTAATATACACATTTACATCTAGAACACTTCGACAAATTCTCTTTTTTTGCACCACAAAATCCACAACTCGAAGAAACAGAAGTCATGTTTATTAGCCCCAATTTCTCTCATGGCTCAGCACTTCCTGTCCGAGGGAGAATGGGGATTTATGACGTAGCCTTAATAATATCACCGCTGTACATGAGGACAAACAAGGAACAAAAAGAAAATGGCGTCTCGGATGGTGGCGTTATAAGGGCCAATTTAACTTCATTTTATGTTACTCTCTGGGTTAATTCTCAGAAAAGAAAGACTAAGTTAGGCAGTTTATTTATTCAAAATGGTTCTCGCGGACTTAGGACGTAAGATTACGACGGCGCTTCGCTCTCTGAGCAATGCGACCATCATCAATGAAGAGGTACGTACCAAGATATTTTTTTCTTCAATGTTGCTGATAAACGATCTTTGACTCCTGAATAAAATCAGATCAGCATGTCACTTCTCTCTTAAACTATCAATCAATGGCATTCAAGCCATTCGGTCAAGTATTTTATTCTTCCTGATGCTCGTTTCAAACAGTACGTATAAAATATTCCACCGAAATGGTCATTCTTCAAGGGACTGATTAATTATAGGAAATAAACAATAAGTCGTGTGAATGTGTTTTATTTGAGTTTACGCAGCCTTTGTTCTGTAAAAGTTCAGTTTAATCTGGATTGATTTATAAGTTCGTTTTCTTCTGGTCACAGTGTATGTCAAACTGACCTCAGTTTCACTTTGTACGCGTCAAAGTGCCTGTGATATAAGTTTACATATGTTAGTAGTTTAGTTCATATCAAGCTCTAACCTTCTCCTAAGCTTAACAATGGAAAAAACAAACCCAGGTCTTGTTTTGATGCTGGCTGTTGGTATTGGCTTTGCTTATGGATTGAAATTACTAGGTTTAATAATTTTTTGCACTAAGCCCGAGGGGGCATGGGGACCGCAGGCATTTGTGGGGCATTTGACTTTTCAGAAGAGTTTTTGGTCAAAATACCCACCACAGGGCCCCCAAATCTGGTAAAATCAGATCAAATATAACCTCCAAGCACATGTGATGATGTGATTTGGTTCCTTTCCTCCTCACAAAAAAATCAAACGTTTCCATCCTAGGGCCCAGACTCTTAGTCAAATTTCCAAGGGTGAGGAAAGCAATCAAAGTCAAATGCCCCACATATGCCCGGAACCCCCCTCCCCCTCAGGCATATACCTGTGAGCAAACCAGGTAGATGTGTTACAGAATACAAGAAGATTTGATGCAGTTTGTGTCCATGGGTCAGAGCACTGATCGAATTAATAAGTACATAATTATAAATTAACATTGTATTAACAACAGGTCCTTGGTGCTATGCTAAAAGAAGTATGTGCAGCTCTACTTGAAGCAGATGTTAATGTGCAGCTTGTTAAAAGACTCAGAGAAAATGTCAGGTAGACTCACTGTGCCATTTTTTAAATATTATTGGTTTATTATAATTTGAGGTATATTGCAACAAATGGTAGATGGAGCACATGCCAAATATTGCAATTTCTCAGATAAAAGATTCTACGTCTTTTTTCTATACGAGTAACAAAGACAGAATTATGTCTTTGGGATAAAAATGATTTGTGAGTATTGTTAATGACTGACAGTTCAACCGCCTTAAATTCAGTAAGATGTAGTGAGATTGGAGCCACCTAGCCTTGTGCATACCACTGACTATATTTATTATTACGTCATCTTAGGTCTGCTATTGACTTTGACGACATGGCGGGTGGGTTAAACAAGAGAAGGATGATTCAACATGCTGTTTTTCAGGAACTGTGCAAGGTCAGTAAAAACTCATGTACAGTACCACCCTCTTGTCTCTGTTCAATGGAAGTAAAAGTCATATCCACAGTCTGATGCAAGTCACATAAACATGGCACACTGCAACCCTTCTTTCCCTCCTTCCTTTTTCCTCTCAGTAGGATTTTAACCCATGATATTTGTGAGATAGGTGTAAATACTTTTTGTTACATGACTAAGTAAGTTTAGTGGGCTAAGAACTAAAATCAACCAATCAGATTGCTCCATTGCTGGTCCAATATTCTTTAAGTATTGGGCCAGGCATTGTCTCAAATGATCCTGCAAGATCACTCTAACTTGAAGATTTTCGAATAGTTTCAGTTGTGTAATAAATCTTATTATTATTGACCAAGCTTGTTTGGGACCCTACTAGGAGAATATTGGCTCTCGGTCTTTTTTGCATGGACCTCGCTGCACTCGGTCCATACTGTCAAGTCTACAGGCCAGTATTCTACCAGTATGGCCTTCACATTTGGTTGATAAGATATATATTATTGACCAGCCAATAGCACAGATCACTTGCAAATTTAAGTGCATTCTAACATTATTTATACCACTGCATGAGCTTGAGTATTCATCATCCAACTTTGTTAACAGCTGGTTGATCCTGGAGTTAAAGCATGGAATCCAAGCAAAGGAAAACAGAATGTCATCATGTTTGTTGGTCTCCAAGGGAGTGGTAAAACCACAACATGTAGCAAGGTGGGCTGGCTTCTTGTGTTGGTCTGTTGTTTGTAGTTATCTAGCAGTATAAGGCTGAAGCAGATTCTCAAAAGGACTTGGTCATTTTGAGATCTACTTCACTTAGAGGCACATGAGGCTTTAGATCAACTTGGCCTGACAAAACATGTCAGTGCATTTTTGATAGTACTAAACACAAGTATTTTCACATCACATACCAAACCTCCCACTCAAGGTCACTATTCTCTGGTGAATTACTTGCCAACATTTTCTTAATAATGACCACTCTTCATGGTTATGATTGACTTAATTTATATTAACAGTATTTCCAATCTTTATTAATTAATTAATTTATTTATTTATTTATTTATTATTAAATTTTGATTGTTTTAATTTGCAGTTGGCATACTACTATCAACGTAAAGGCTGGAAGACTTGTCTAATCTGTGCAGACACATTCCGAGCAGGTAAGCTAAAAGAGAGAAACAAGAGCTCAATATTTTGTCTTCAATACATAATTTATCTGCTACAGTACTTATATGTAGAGGTTAGTATGTCAACTATTCACGTAGCTATTTCCATTTCTCTCTCCAGGAGCCTTTGATCAACTTAAGCAAAATGCTACTAAAGCAAGAATACCATTTTATGGCAGGTAGGAACAGAATTTCAATGCTGAATGAGCCATACCAAACGGGCACAAGAAACATCCCTTAACACCAGACTCCATAGTCTGATGTATGGGAGGCACGGTGGCCTCCTGGTTAGTAGGTTCGTCTCTGGATCAAGTGGTCCGGGTTTAAGCCCTGGCTGGGTCCACAGCAACTTCCTCTAGTCGCTAGTCGACCAAGATTTGAAAACTGCTAACATTATAGTCTGCAATTCCCAATGAAATACCCACCGGAGCTCCAGTGGGTGTAAAGTGTTACAAAATACACTGTCTTTAGAGAGATGACTGCTTGTGGGAGGTTTAATTTAAATATAGTACTTATTATATCTGTGATGACATGACCGACTGTCTTCTTACAGAAAGTGTTCACCTACAAAACGTGTCCGCTGGCAAATGTTGAACTCTGTTTTGATAAGTCTTCTTTTAGTGCTCTTGCAAAAGTCATTTACAATATTTGTAGTGGTTAGAACTCCACCTACCGTTTCAGTCTGCACATTTTAGTATCATGCAATCTAATTAATTAGATGTGAAATCTCATGTTTTCTTTTTTTGTTGTTTCCAGTTACACTGAAGCGGATCCTGTGGTCATAGCTCAGGAAGGTGTTGATAAATTTAAACAAGAGAACTTTGAGATAATTATTGTAGACACAAGGTATGTTAATTTGTGTTTGTCTTCCCCCCACCCCCCTACAATACTGGATGATGTCGCATCAAAATATCTTTAGAGACTCTCTGCGAGGGTTTAAAACGGATCGTTATTTCTTATAGTGGAAGACACAAGCAGGAAGAATCTCTCTTTGAAGAAATGCTTCAAGTGTCCAATGCAGTTGTAAGTATACCTCAAATGCATTAATAATTCATCAAGATTAAACAAAACAAAGGAAATCATGACTGTGGCAGCATTTAGATATCTGATCTTAATTAGCACAGATTTTTACAATTTTTTCTCCATTTTCTAGCTCATTATTGTTAGTTTTGATTGAGACGACATGTCAAACACTCTTGAAAGACAGTGTTTGACCACATTTCCAAACACCACAAAATTCCTCAAAAATACTCTGCTGCACATCATCTTTTCAATGCTCTTCTCATTGTTTGGAAAAGTGGTCAAACACAGTCTTATGTGCTTGGTAGACTACATGCTCATGAACATACCTGCCTATATTGTCATACTACCATGTTGTCACTGCTGTTGTCTTATATACACTAAAAGATTATGCCGGTTTTGATATTGTTTGTGTTATCTCATTTAGAGTCCAGACAATGTAATATTTGTAATGGATGCTACAATTGGACAAGCTTGTGAGTCCCAGGTAAATAACATTTTTTTATCCCTGGTTTGTTAGAGGCACTGGTCAACATGCTACATTAATGGTACACATGTACAGTGTAACTATAATTATGCATTTTGACCTTCCTTTATCATGATCACTGGTATACTTTTTTCCACGAATCTTTTATTTTTAATTAGCAATGTCATTTTACTTGTGTGTTCCTTTTAGGCCAAAGCCTTTAAAGACAAAGTTGATGTTGCTTCAGTTATTGTGACGAAATTAGATGGCCATGCGAAGGGTGGAGGTGCATTGAGTGCGTAAGTAATACCAGGAAATAAAAGTCATATTTCCACCTCTTTACTTTGCACTCTGTTATACTCATCGTTTTATGTGGGGTTTTATTTCCAGAGTTGCGGCAACTAAAAGCCCTATAATCTTTATTGGTACTGGAGAGCATATAGATGACTTTGAACCTTTTAAGACCAGACCATTTATAAGTAAACTATTAGGTAAGTTATGTTGTAAAATGCACTTTGCTGGGCACTGGGCAAATTGATTAACTATGAGGAAGATTTTGCCCATCTTATTTGACCATCTAGTACTAGAGGAAAGTTTTTCTTATAAACATGTTCAGTTCAAAAAGTTTTGCTGCCTGTAAAAACCAGTTGCTGTCTTGCTGAAAATATTAATGAAACCCCCGGTATGAGGTGCAGTTGCCCAATGATTAGTGCATTGATAGAGTGGTCTGTGTTAGAGCCCTGCCAAGGTGACTTCACTGTAGTTTTGATGTCTCTCTCTCTCTCTCTCTCTCTGGAAGGGGGAATGAGGCCCCACATCTGGATCCAATAAGTTTTATTAGGGGAAATCAGCACTATGTTTTAAGCCAAAAAAATCTTCAGGATGCAAATTTCATCTGGCAGATTGTTGGGTCATGTTAACAGTACAGTATGCTGCAAGGGAGTAATCCAGTCTCGCATCCCATCCAGGGGGGAGTAGCAGCACTTTGAGCCACCCCACGCTACAGAAACTAATGTTATTCGCCGTTTGAAAATAAAGGTTGTGATTGTTCTTGTTTGGCAAGTGCTTGTTTTGTAATTTTTCGTCAGGAATGGGAGATATTGAAGGACTGATTGATAAAGTTAATGAATTAAAGCTTGAGGACAATGAAGAACTCATTGACAAACTCAAACATGGTAAGAATTCATAAGTATACATAGTAAGAAGTAGTAACTTACTTCCTTAGAATTCTGAAAGTAACATTCCTCCTGAAAATAACGGCTCCCTGAGGGTCATGTTAAATTTTTACCTTGTACAGTCTGCTTTGTTCATGTAGGTATTCAGTAACTGACATAAAGGGAACTATTAACTGCATGTCAGACATGTTACATGTCGACTTTGTCTGAAACAAAACCATCCAAAAGTAGTGGCTACCCAAAAGTAGCAGCCCCTTTTGCAGGCTAAATCCAAAAGTAATGGGGATCATTATTTTTGGAATTCTACAGTATAATCTATTTAGGGTAGCCAAATTTGTTATTCTACTAATTTTTGAAGGAGCTCATTTGCGGTTTGTTGAATTATTTTGGCTGCATACTGCCAAAGAATTACCTTTAAATTGAAGGAAACCTGAAAATACATGTAGGAGTTTACTAAGATGGAAAAACATGAAAGAGATAGTACTAAACCATTAAGGAACAAGGATGGTTAAGGATGGAGAAGATTAACGTGGATTACAAACAACAAACTTGAAAAATTAGGCTAAACTTTTAGCTCCTGTATAATATATTTGATCCTTTTAGGTGTGTTCAGTTTACGAGACATGTATGAACAGTTCCAGAATATCATGAAGATGGGACCATTTGGCCAAATCATGGTAGGAACCCAACATTAGCCTCAACACTGAGGGTGAAATGACAAAAGGAAAAAACACACGACAGAAGCAATAGACCATTAATGCGGAGATATGCTTTATAAATTTCCTGTCAACTTTATGTACAGCTGTCATAGATTAACATGGTAGTAAAATTGCTCTCTGCCCCTTTGACCATGTATTATTCCCTCTGCTGTCATCCCCTTGGACCTTATATACCCTCCCCCCCCCCCCCCCCCCCCCCC